TTAAAAAAAAAAAAAAAAAAAGGAAAAGGAAAAAAAAAATCTGCACTGAGGCTTCTAGGCTCTTAGTTCTGCTCTCCTTGTCCTAGTCATGTCCTCTATTCTGGGCTGATGTATCAAGGCAACAGAAAGGATCTCCTTGCCGAAAGTGAGGAGGAAACAAAGCACTAAGGCAGTCTTTGAGCAGCAGCAAAAACAGACTGTCCACCAAGAGTGAGATGGAAATCACTGTCAAACTGACGTGGATTCTTACTTTATATTCTCCCAAGAGCCGGTTCCTCTCATCTAGCTTTCTTTGCAAATCCACCTGCAAGAAGAAGTTAATTGGCATGAAGATATCATCAGTCAAGCCCAACAGACAGCAGGCACTCAGAGACCAGAGTATGCATGCAGTTACAGGATATGGCACAGGGATGATAAAAACACACAGCTGCTCTCCATGTCACGAATGAGAGCATCAGAATACAGACACATGACTTAGCTTCAACTTTTCCATCAAAGTTGAAGGGCTCAAGGGCCATGTGGTATGGGCATGTATCTAGGGACAAAGATGAGTCTGATGGAATAAAAGTAACTGCAGAACAGAGGCAGGATTCACGAAGGTAAGAGATTAGGATGGCAGAATGACTAGGACTTCATGCAGTATCCTGTTCTGCTACTGGGGTTTAGTGAGGTCAGAGTCACGCGCTCAACTCACATTTTGGCTGTGCAGCTCATCTCGGTCCATATTCGCTCTCAGTAGCTCTTGTTTGAGCTGAAGAACAGATGTATCCTGCTGAGTCAACCTCTGCTGCAAGGCATCCTGGGGAGTAAAGCATGCTCCTTATTGTGGTCCCCACTAATCAACCTGCCAGTGATTAAAAGTTATTAAATCCCATACTATATCCAGCACTAACTGCTGCCAAACTTGGAGACAAAGGGGATAGGAGGACTTCTCCTAGGGGATGAACAGTTCTTCTGAGCCCTCCAGAATACTAGCATCTAAAGGAAAATCCTACCATGCTGACTAAAACATATTTTCCTTTCCTATTATTCCTCCCTGCCCTCTGCTTTCTTGATGGTATGAGGCCCTAGAGAATGAGTGGTCAGCTAGACCTAGATTCAAATGTCATGTTACCAGTTATCCTCATGACAGTGACCTTGAACCATGGACTCACCCTCCTACCACTCTGGATGACTCATGTAGATCGGGGCATATAACTACTCCAGCTACCTCTCTGTCCAATCCCTATTTCCCAGAAGTCAGAGTCTGCCACTCTGTCTATACAGAATCCCTGCAATCACCCTGACCCCGCTTCTCAAGAGTCCTGCTCCCGCCCTGCTTCCATACCCAGTTTTGACCAGGATTGGTAATATATTTCTAGGTCCAGAATTGTGCTTGGACTGATGGCTCCTTATTCCAGTGTCCTAGGATCTTACCAGCTTTAGGGTCTCTGTTTGAACCTTCTTAGTTCCCACTATGCCTAAGAAGAGGTGGGTTGTGGCTAGTTATTGGGAAGGGTCAGCAGTAACATTCCTCGAACAGTGACTTCCATGGAACTAGAGTCTGGACCTTCATTCCTGGGTACAGGCCCTGACTTCCTACTCTTGATAGACTGAACAGAAATGGTGTAGACTCTAAAGAATGTGGGAACCCATTGCTACATGTGCTGTCCACCATGCAGTACAGGGCAAAGGGGGTTGAAGATGTCCCTGGCACCAGCAGTTCAGAGAAACAGCTCCTAAACTGCTCCATAGGATACTAATAAGTGCTAACAGGATAAAAAGCACCCTGTGCTTAATAACTCTAAAGTTATTCATAGGCCAACCTCTTTATGATAGACCTTCCTGAACCCGTTAACATGCTATTATTCACTGTGAACCTTCACGAGTTGGGCATTTCTCAAACTGATCTCACATGTTTGTTTATGAAGTATCTTGAAGTCTACAGGATATATTCTGGAAACTGCTTCTGGAGTATCCTTTAATCTAGCTCATGAATGGGTAGGGAGTTAGAGAAGAGGGGGAATACAGCAGCTTAAGATCATCTTTTTTCACTTCCAGGCATTGATTCAACAGATATACTCCCAGTTAAATGAACATTTTCAGGATTAGCTAAATCACTGTTTTTATTTTCAAAATACTAGAAACAACCTAAAAGACCATAAATAGAAGATTGGCTAAAAATTAGTCTCATGAATCACTTAAAGACGAGGATATGTTCTAAGAAATGTGCTGTTAGGGATATTGCTGTACAAATGTCATAGTATAATTATACAAACATAGGTGGTATGGATGGTACAGCCTACCACACCAATTAGGCTACGTAGACTAGACAACTGGTACACAGGTGCATATGCCATCCCTCAGCAACCAAAACACTAAGCAACACATGGCTCTCTCTCTCTCTCTCTCTCTCTCTCTCTCTCTCTCTCTCTCTCTCTCTCTATATATATATATATATATATATATATATATATATATGCTAGAGTCCTATGCAGCCATAAAAAAGACTTAGCCAGCTCTTTAAATACTTAACTAGAATGAACTGCAAGATTCATTTTAAAGTAAAAAAAAAAAAAAAAAAGAAAAAAGCAAAGTGCCAAGCTACATTTACATCATACTATTAATTTGGGTGAAATGATACACACATACACTTGTCGATATCTGATAAGTTGCTTCCAAGAGAGAAAACTATAGAAGTGGCAGACAAGGCTGGAAAGCAGACTTTTCACATACTGTTCTCTTGTACTTTTTAACTTTGAACCACTTGAATGTTACCAACTATTTACAGAGTAACAAAGACCGCAAGTCAATTATACATTATTTTTAAAAGAATTTTCAAAGATGAAGGAAACTGGTTAAAAAAAATAATAATGTGAAACTAAAGAAAACTGTTTTTAGAAACGGATTGTCTTCACAACAGTAACTACGGCACAGAGGTAAGAGGCAATACCGTGAGTTATAACTACCAGGACCAGGCCTCAGTAAACAAAGGTTAGTCCCCAAAGTGTCCCACTTCCTGTGCAGACAGCCTGTCTACTAAGGGCACAGAGCCTGAAAACGGCCCCGGCAAGTACATTCAAGACCAGAGGACCCAACTCTACCTCCTAGTGCCCCCTCTCACCAGCAATCACTTAACCTCACGGAGAGCTTCGTTAAGAGTTCAAGGTCTTTCTTTTTACCTTTATCCCCTGTAAGTTTCTGGTTTCTTGTTTACATTTCAGCAGCTCCTTCTGTAAACCAAATATAGTCAGATCAGACAGTAGCATATGGCTTGCTGCAAAAGCTTTACCTCATTCTGTCAGTAAGAACACAAAACTCAGATAAAAACTCTGTGAAAAATTAACTCTCTACTGAGGTGAAAAGCAAGTCTGGTCCAGAAAACAGGAAAGGGCTGACCATAGGTTCTTCCCTAATGGGGCCCAGTGGGCCCAACAGCTTGGGTGGAGAAGAATGAAGGTATCAGACACTCCCATAGGCTCTTACTGCTATATTCAGCCATTTTTACCAAGAAAACTTAAATGATAATAGTCTAAATTTCTCACTGAAATACAGGATCATATCTTTTTTATTTTTTAAAGATTTATTTATTTGTGCATACAGAACTGGGGTACAGGCCAGAGGTGCAGGGGTGGTGAGAGGATTCACCAGAGACAGAGTGGAGAGCAGAACAGGCAGATTGACAAAGTACACTGCTGAGGGGAGCAGTGGGCCGGTCAGGAGAGGTCTGCCGGGCCACGTGGGTCACCTTCGGGGCAGGGATTGAACTCACACGGAGGTGGCTTTAGCTTCTTAGTGCTGTGCTTTAACCTGCTGCGCCACCCGCGAGGGCCCCAGGATCATATCTTAATATGCTAATTCCCAGTGTCATTAAATCATTATTTCAGTTTTTAACATCCAACAAAGGGCCCGAGTGTTTCTGACTTTCCAAGACGGTATTGTTCTTTATGAACTAAACAAGCATATTTATCCAATAATGAAACACTAAGCTATGTGCCCTCTCTTACTAGAGATAAAATTTTATGTTCATGATTGTCACTAGGGTAGAGATTTCAGGAAAGGGAGAACCATGTCTCAGGTCCCACTCTCTTCTGTTATTGTATCACATGAAGAGTTTGGAATGACTTCATTTAAATGGAGATTTTTAACCTGGAACCCACAGGTGAGCTCCAAAGCCACTCTAATACAGGTCTTGGAGTGTAGTACATACACAATGCTTATTTATGGAGAGAGGTATTAATGGTCATATTACTCCAAAAAAAAGTAGACCAACTGACCTTTAAGAATTCTGGGCACAGGCCCTCCCTGGTGGCACAGCTGGTTATAGCACAGCACAAAGAAGCTAATACCACTTCAGCATGAGTTTGACCCCCTCCACGGAGGTGATCCCGAGGCAGAGCACACCTCTCCTGACCCACCTGCTGCTCCCCTCAGCAGTGTCCTTTGTCAGTCAGCCTGTTCTGCTCCCCACTCTGTCTTTGGTGAATCCTCTCACCGCCCCCGCACCTCTGGCCTGTACTCCACTTCTGTGTGCATAAATAAATAAATCTTTAAAAAAAAAAAAGAATTCTGGGCACTAATTCATTTTAAAAAAGAAAGGACTGTGCTGATTATAGACCCATTTTATACTGTAATTAAAAAAAAAAACAACTATGCCGCTTTTCTAAGGTACTAAAAGGGAGAGCTAATAATAACATAGATAGGTTTCATAAGATTTATTTTATCTAGCATACAGAATTGGGGGAATAGGCCAGAGGGGCAGAGGGTAAGAGGTAGAGTGGGGAGCGGAATGGGCAGAATGACTGAAATACTCTGCTGAGGGGAGCAGCGGGAGGGTCAGGAGAGGTCTGCAGTACCATGTGGGCAGTACCATGTGGGTCCCCAACTGATTGGGGATGGAACTCAAGCTGCAGTGGCTATGATAGCTTCATAGTGTTCCTGTGATAGCTTCATAGTGTTGTGCTTTAAAACCTGTTGCACCACCAGGGAAGGCATATTTCTCTCTTTTAATGGAAAACATAGCAGCCTTGCATACAGCTAAAGCCCTAAACCTGGGTTCCTCCCTTCCTCACCATTAGTCTTTGAAACTGATGTGTAATGTTCCCATAACTTTTTTGGTTTTAGCAGGTAAAAAAGTGAAGGTCCTGACATACCTTTAAGTCCTGGTTTTCCTCCATACTCTGATCCAGACGACTTTGGATTATAATCTCGAATAGAAGACAGAAAGGGCATGATTATGTATCTGTGCTATGAAATTCAGGGGTCACCCATTCAGCCACTAATTAAAGAGCATCCAATAGATGCCAGACCTGCACATCGGTACAGAGCTGACAGGAAACGGTGCTGGCCCTCCAGAGGAGCAAATGTCTGGGGGAGGGTAGACCACGGGAATGTTCAGACTTGGCTTTGGGAAGGAAAATGGACAAGGGAGAAAGTGAGCGCATAACTGTGCCGGGCACCAAAGTCCAGTGAGGACAGGGGACTCTGAAAAGTTTTAGGCAAAGAGATAACACAATGCCTTCAAGGTAAACTGTCCCAGCTGCTCTGTAGAAAATGCATCAGCTGACAGGAGAGCAATGCCAGTTAGGAGGCTGCTAGGTTACTGACAGAGTGTGAACTGTGGCAGTGACTGTGAAGAAAGACAACTGGATGGAGATATTTAAAATGCAAACTGATAAAACCTGGTGCTTGGTTAGATGTAGAGAAAGGGGTCAGGAGGGATTCAAGGATGATATTCAAATTTTTGTTTTGGGTATTTGGGCACATGGAGACTGAGTAATCTTGGTGTGAGAAGGGAAAAGAAGGGAGAGAAAAGCTGTTTAATTTAGGACTCACTGAGGTGGAGGAGCTTATGGGACATCTGAGTGGAGATAATCAGTAGGTGGCTGCATGTTATACAGACTAATCTGAATTTGCACAGAGATTCTAAGCAAGAAATAAATACTGAAGATGCAACATCTGAGTCAGGTGGGAAGAAGTAAAGCCATGGGAGCAGATAATGTGCAGGTGAAAAAGACAAAGGAGGCCTAGAGCGGCCCGGAGGAGCAGCAGCATTTAAGGCCCAGGCAGAAGGAGCCGAGCTTCAAAGGGGACCTGAACCCTTTGCTCAGCTTTGTCATCAACCTATCTCCAGCACAGTCAGCACTCAATAAATGTTGGAGTGTGGGAGGGAGGGAAAGAAGGAAGGGAGGGAGGCAGACAAGCAATAAGGAAGTAAGAAACAAGGGAGGAAAAGAGAAGAAAAAGAAAAAGCAGTCCAAAATATATGAAAAAAACCAAGCAAGCTGGAGCCAGGAAAAACAGCATTCCGAGGTGTGGCCAACAGGATGAAATGTGAGAAATAAACCAAAGACATAAGTCAGACTATTTAGAGTCCAGGCACAGAGGCAGGAGCTCACCAACTGTTCCTCAGGGTTGACTCCTGGTTCACAGAGGGCCAGGGGCCTCTCCTGTTCATCCTCTGGTAAGGAGCCATTGAGCAGTAAGGCCTGAAAAACCACAAAGGCAGAGAGAAGCTTGACTAAGTTCAGAGCGGAGCTTGGTCAACACATTCCAAACTGAAATCACCAGCCAGTTTCCTCTAAAAAGCATCTTGGTAGCTTTCCGTCCTTTGGAACCTCCTGTGAACCTCCTGTCCACTGTTCTGGGTACCACCCTCCTCACTCCAGGAGACAGGAGAGCAAAGTCATCTGTAGACCTGAAGTCTATGGAACAGTCATGCAAACAGCTATGCAAAATCTGCTGCCTGGGAGAAAAGTCAGTCTTTACAAGATCCACTAACAACCAAGGAGTCTAAAAAGACAATTTCAATAACGGGGACCCAGTCTTTGCAACTTCCCAGGGCATCCTTTGGAAAGGAAAAGATTATACCTCTGCACTCCCTCTGTGCAGAGTACCAACATATTTTTAAGTCAAAACAGCTTAGAACCAGAAAACACCTGCCAAGCAATAATTACATTTTTTCTGTCAATGATTTAACTATAAACTAACATTCAATATGAAATAAATTCAAACATGTAGATTGCTAGAACAGCTCTCACAACCTATAAAGTCTGTTGAAACTGCTTTCTGAGTTCTAGTCCTCGCTTCATTATTTGGTAAACTCCTGGTTGAACCACCACTGAGACTTTTATTCCAGTTAACTTTTCTCCCAATTATTCATCTGGGGGATCTCTCTGGAGTCCCTTTTGCCAGGCCCTGTTTCAGGTCTTTTTCTTTTCTCTGGAAGCACCTGGTTCCTTCACTCCAAAGTTTCTTGGCCCCAGAAAACAATCTAAGCTAAACTTGCCTTTGAGCAATTTTAAACTGGAGCTGCTCAAACTGAATTTTTACCAGCTGGAAACTGAACTAAAAGCAGTGCAGAATGGTCCTGGCCTAGAAAAGTTTATTGTAATGAAGTATGTAGAGTACAATTTTAGCAATGACTTGGGTTTGTTTGACTTTGTTTGTTTTAATAATTCCACATTTGCATTCTCTAAGGCAACCTGGATAGAACAAGAAGGAAAACATTGGCAGACAGAAGTCTTCATTCATTTCCACTCCCATTACTACCAGGCCTTGTTTTCATTAGAATAAGGGGTGGGAAGCAGATGTATCCTAAAGCTAAGGAAGCTGAAGTCTCAGGAGCCCCTCACTTGCACTACCCCCTCAAGTTCTGTATCTCATATTATACTGATAATCTGGTAGACTTACACTTAAAGAAAGCCCCCAAAGCTGTATACTGAGAACCCAGAAAACTTGGACTTACAGGTAATTACTATGAGGCCCATCCGCTCAGTGAAAGATTTTTAAATGTGTCCTCAGTTTATATCATGATTCTGTCTCAGTTCAATCAAAAGAGAATAATTAGAAAGGCAACATACAGTTTAAATAGAGAACACAAATTACATCACAAATGTTAGTCTATAAAAACATTTCAGAATCCAGTCACTGGATTCTGGAACACTGACGCACTACTTAACAATAAAATTTGAGTACAGCATACGAATCTGCTCATTCTGGAGTTACAGACAAGGGTAAGAAGCCACAGGGCTGCGGAGGGAGGAAGAATGGGCAACATTATAAAAATGCTGCAAAATGTCCAGCTCTAATTGCAGCACACTAGTCAAGTCAGAAATCCTGGGTGTGATCTAGAAGGCAGCTTGCTCATCATGAGAGAGCTAAGAAGCTCTGCGGACACTGTGGGTCCCATTGTATTCCACTGTGGAACTGAATTCTCACTGAGGTCATGTGGCTGAAGTAAAACTCCTCTGTGTGTAGGGAGGATTCGGACGCTGACTTTCTGCCTGACAATCCTCTTCTTTTTCTGTCTAATCGGCCCCTGCCATCAGATTTCTCCTAGACTGAAAAATGCAAACCAACCTGAAAGCCAAACTGATGTATATCTATGACCATAAAATGCCAAGTGTTCTGGGAAAAGCCTGTTTGGGCTTAATCCCAGAATTCCCCATGCATTAATACTTCCTATTAAAGGACAGCACAAAAACAACAACAACAACAACAAAAACCCCAAACACTGCAATCATTAATCCATTTCTTAGTGGACTCACAGAAAAGGGATCTAAAAGGTCTTCTAAGTCGGACGTTCTACAACTACAGAGCAAATGGGTGTATATGTGGTGGGGGGTCAACCACTCTCCTTGGGAATGTTTAGATAGTGAACATGCCTCCAACCGTTCACAGTCCCAGGGCATACATTATGCAAATTGTCTCACCACAGCACCAATCTCCTTTCTTCCTCAGGAACCCTTTGTGTCCCCACCCTGTTGCTGGCAGGCAGGGAGCTCACCCTGCCCCGCCTGCCGGCTGCCAGAGCCACTCACATAATGTGGGCTTTGTTTATGTGTCCATAAATATTTGACAATTCAGAAGCAGTGCAGTTCCCAGCACAAACAGAAAGGCATATTCCTAGGCAAGTTTCAGGGTCATCAGCACACTATATGGGTTCCCCCAAACAAGGACAGACACACAAAGACAGAGGACTGAGGGTCATTTGGGTAGGATCTAAGTCAAGTGGGTCCGTCCTTCGGTCGGTCAGTCTGGGGGAGAACTGCAGAGAAGGCCCTGAAGGAAAAGGGAAAACAGAATGGCTTTGTTGCCCAAGGAAAACCTTGTCTACCTGACCATTACAGTTTGCAAGTGCATTAGGAGCCAGCTAAGTCTCTTAGTCTCAGCTGGAAACCTGCTACATTGCTGGCTCTTACACCCTCCTGCTAGAGAATTCCTAGGAGACAATCCCTGACAATTTAGTGTCATTCTTCAGTGAGAGCAACTGAGCGTCTGTAGCTGTAAACAGGGTAGAAACCTACCTATGAAGCAGCAAGCAACAATGAGAGTTGGGTAGGGGCTGAAAATGGCTCCCTGCCTTGCAGAAATCCTAACAGCTGTCTGACAACAGGAAAACATAATGTCCATTAAGGAGTATCCACTCACAAAGAATTTTCGGAGTACTATTCCCAGCTAAATTCCCCATTCACCTCTGACCTTATCCAAAACTAAGTTTATTTTCAATAGATATGAGTTAGAAATAATACTCAGTTGGTATCCCCAGGACCAACTGAAAAGAAAGAGCTACCTGCAATCCTGATATCATTTTCTTGGCTTCCTCCATTTCCTTTTCTAAATGTTCTTGTTGTTCTAACAGCTGTTCTTCCCATGAAGTCTCCAGATAGGTTCCGGGGCTCCCTGGTCGCCAGTCTCGGGATAATGGAGAGTCTGTCTCCTCTACAAAACGAAAGAATGCAGGACAATTCATGTTGAGGCAAACGGAGTGTCTCGGCAGAAAGCGTCCAGTCCTGTGTGCTTGCTTCCAGGTTCGGGTCACCTGCCTCCTGAACCTGTCCTCTCGGCACAAACTGGAGTCTCCACCAGGTGGGGTTGTGAGACAGAAAGAACTGGCCATTAACTTGGACTCTGATTAACTGGGACTGTTGCCTCAGGGGAGCACCACTTAGTGTTTGGGGACCCTCTTTTGGAGGCATTAAAAGAACTCCCTCATGGGAATCTTGGCAGGGGACTCATCCATTTTACTCTTAATTCTCTAGAATTAGCATCCCTAAAGCTTGATTCTGACAGACACAAAGGGGGGAGCTGTCAAATGCAATGAAGTTTCAGAGGGAAACCTCGATTTAATATTCCTTGGGCCATGAAGTCCTAACTCAACTAATCCCTCTTATATACAATTGTATGAGGTACACAGTAAAACAAACAAGTAAGAGCATACTGGTCCGAGCAGTTAAGCTCTTTCCCTGGTTTTGTTTCAGTTTCTTACCTGTATGGTCCCCTTGCTCTGATTTCCTTGCCTATTTTATCGTTGAATGCACAGTTGCTTAAAATACATGAGAGAAGAAAGATGCAACCCCCTTTGAAGACACACCTTCATTTATAAGCAGGAATGTAGTATGTACAGTCCCTATGGGTTACTGTGAAGGTTAAATGAGGTAACTCATGTGCAGGGCCCGTGGTGCCAGGTCTGAAGCAGGCACACATTACACGCTCCCCCTCTCCCTCCCCAGCGTCCTGGGAGCTTCAGACTCAGTAACATGCCTGCCTCTTAGGTACTAATGTCAAGGCTAAAGGGGGCATGGAAAAATTTCATTCCAGTTTTTCTTCTGAGGGCTTCATTGCATCACAACTCTTACAGGTGAAGAAAAGTACCCAAAACATGTGCTTTGCTGCTGCGATGCTTCCTTCTAGGTTTATGTAAGAAAAAGGGGTGCAACCAAGAAGGCGAGGTCTAAACAAAGAGGGCTCTGTGGCCCTTTCTGCAGCCTCCCTATGAAATAGCCTGATGGAGACCAGCACTCTACTCCATGTCATCACAGACCCTCAGACGTTGCTAGGTAATCTGGCCCCAACTGAAGTTAGGTAAATGCTGAAATGATGTGTATAATGCAGAAATTAAAAAAAAAAAAAAAAAACTGTTTACATGAGTAAGGGTTCTGACTGTTCCAGAGTCGGTTCCTAATTCGTAGGCAGTCAGCTGAGAAACAGCTTGCCTAAGCTGCTGGGAGGGTTCTGGCAACTGGGAGTCAGAAGTGACATTCTGCCAAAGGACCACTACATGAATTGTCTCGGGGCATCAGCACCCCCTAGAGCTGACCCCGCATGCACCATGCACAGACTGTGGAAAAGAAAAAGGCCAGGTTGCTTATAGGGAAATAGTTGAGTGAGGTCCCACAAATTCTTCAAGCGAAGTACTGTTCCTTGAACCAAGCCAGGCAGAGTGAGTGATAATACCTGTTCTGTTCTCTATTCCTTGGGCAGGAATAATCACAAAATCTGCCTTTTCTTCCGACTGGGTTATAATGGATTCACTCTTTGCACTGTGAATAGGACTGGGTGAAGCCAGGCTGTGATGGAAGGAAAAGAGAAACAATTATTATGAACAGCTGATCAGAAGCCAACTTTCTAATTTATCCCAGAGGCATGTTCTTAATTCATCTTGCTCCTGGTGCCTACCATAGTAGCTGGCCAACAGTAATAAAAATATTTGTTGAATGAATGAATGATCAACTTCTTTCTTTGTCTAGGAATTCTTTTCAACCAGGCTGTCTTTCAGGTTAAATCATTAACAAGAAATTTGTTTGTTATTTCCCATACCATCATCATCTCTGGGCCTAAATTCAAAGACTGGTGTAGTGTGTGTCTAAGCAGCTTTGGGAACTGGAAGGGAAATCCATTTCCAATATAAGACCTCTCATAAGCAATACCAGCAGAGTAACAGGGTAGATCAGCTCTGGGTTGATGGCCAAGTAGGGACGGTGTTGCGGGGGTCTTATTGGGGAGTACTTGTTGAGAGTGTGCACAGGGCCAGATAGGGTAAAGGGCCAGTGACAGATCAACAAAGGTAGATGATGATGAGGAAAAGGGTAACAGTATAAGGAAAAAGGGGAAAGACCTTCCAGGGGGTGGTACAGGTATACTTGATTTACTCCCAACAGAATTATTTTTATCTCTGCCACAGTATTTTCAAACAGTCACCAGAAACCTCCCAATAACTCTGATGACCTGGTCCAACTATTAGTCTTGGAAGGAACCATTCAGATCTTCAGGGGTGTGTAATTTTAAATCTACATAGGAAGATGGGAATGGGGGCCGAGGTTCCCAACGGAGAGGAAGGAGGGCACAGAAGAGCCCTTTTCTTTGCGCTGCACCTTGAGAACATCAGCACTCCGACAATCTCAGGGGCTGTGGGGTCTTTGGGCCCAGCCCCCTCTTGGGAATTCTTTCCAAATTCATCACCCAGACAACAGTGAAAATGTCTAGGAATCACTGACCCACTTAATGTGCCCCTGAAGTCTCCCGGGCTAATCCCCACAGCCGCTATCAGGAGTTACATTTCGTCTTCCTAGAAACCAGTAAAAACAGCCAAGCTCGGTGGAGGTCGCCAGAGATTTCAAAACCTCTGAAGCAGAGTGAGGATGAGTGTTCGCATCCTCCCTGTTGTCCAGAGCTTGGAGTTTTGATGGGGATGAACTCACTCAACTAATTCTCTTCCTATTAAAACCACAGGAAAAAATGTTAAGTTTTTCTGCATCTTCAAATTAAAATGACAATGTGATGTGGTGACATCCACCGAAGCAGCATGACCCTATTCCCCTAAATCGTACACAGGGTTGTAAACCAATGTTATCTTATTAAAAAAAATTTTTTTAGTTACTAAAAAATAAGGTAAGTCATTTAACTATCTCAATAAATCTACAACCTAAACAGACAAGAGGGGTGGTGAGTGGCAAGAAGTGGTGTTTAGAAAATTGCTTTATAGAACTCTCTTGTTCATCTCTTACCACTTAGGCAATCTGAATTCCAGGCCACACATTAGCTGCTGGAGAAGCACTAGTCTGAGGGGACCATTATAAAGAGAATAGATTTCAGGCTGCTCAGGCCTCAGCATTCATCCCCATTGCAAAAAAAATGGGATCAGAGAGCAGAAAGAGACCTGCGGCAGCTGCTTCTCTTTGAGACATAACAAAGCAACACTTTCTCAGCTGACAAGGTGTTATGGTTGACATGCTCCCTGCCTGCATTTGTCTGGTCCACAGTGGGTATGTGTGAGACGAAGGGGGGTCTCTGGGAGGAGCAGTGTGAACCCAAGGTGCTGGAAAACTGCTTTCCCAAAGCAGAGAGCATGCTCAGCTCCACCTCCTCCCTCCTAAGTAAGCTGTCTCCCATAAAAGGGCAGCAGGAGGCGGAGGTCTACAGATCCAAGCCCATTGGGGGAGTGGCAGAGCGGTCAAAGAAAAACAACATTTCTCTTTCTTGAATTGAGGCTGCAGGCCAGAGAGAGATAGGACTGGGAACTAGGTGGCCAAGTGCACGGAGAAAGGCCCTGAGGAGGTAAAATCCTTTTGCACATTTCTGAGCAGGCACCTGGCTCCCTCCCAGGGGGAGACCCTCAAGGAGGAGAACTGTGCATTAAATCCTCTGCCTCAGGTCAGAGAAAAGTATTTTAATGCTAATCAGCTGTTATGATTTAGGGTCTCTCTGACTAGCTTACAAACCATATTTTATAAAACAGTACAAAATCTCCTACCTGCCATCACAGAAGACAGGGAACAAGGGATTACAAATCAGGTCCCATTGATACATTTTTAAATTCCCATCTGTCTAACATCTTTCCGGTCTTAATTTATCAGACATGCAAAGACACTCCAATAAGAGTCAAATCTAGTTTTCAAAAAACAGGCAGTGGGGGATAAGGAAGAGCCTCCAGTTCCCTCCTGAAGTGCCCCCCACACACCCCCACTTAAGAAGAGACACGGCAGGCTAAGAGACCAGTCCTCCCTCTCCTGGAGGGTTGCAGCTTCCGAAACCCACTGTGTTTGACAGCAATAATCCAAGGCCAGCAGCCGGTTTTCCCCAATACAGCGCCCCCACCCAACCCTCTCTGCTCTGCCCAAGAGCATCCTCCAGTCTTGGCCCAGCTCCCACCCGTGCCCCCACTTCCAAAGCCAAAGTGGCCTCTGCTCACCATTTGACTTGCGTCCCTCCCATGGTCCCCCTCCTGGCTCCGGCTTCAGCAAGCCTGCTTCCCTGGGCAAAGCGGGAGGCTGAGGGTCACAGTGCCCCCCAATTCGGGCATGTCTCCCCGCGCTGGCGCGCGAAGAACGACTCCACCCGCAGGTCAACTACCGGGGCAGTTTGGCCCGAAGGCGGGAGGGAGGAGGCAGGCTGAGAGGCAGGCGTTTCGGCCCCAGGGACAGGGATGCTCCCCGGTCTGAGGCGCGTGTCCTGGCGGCTCAGACACTGCAGCAGCCCGGCCTGGGCGGAAGCCGCCTCCCTTCGCAGGTTGCTGGTGCTCGGCAGCGGCATCGTGGTCGCGGCGGCCGCGCGGCTCCGGCCGTGCCCCGGGGCGCAGTCATCTCAACCCATCTCCCACCGGGAGAAACGCTCCCCGCGACTCCGGCTGCGCGGTCGAGTCCCCGGCGGCGAGAATGCGGGCGATCCCCGCTTCGCACCGCCTCTCCGGTCCCTCCCCAGCCCTCCCCTCCCGCCGCCCCCCCCCCTCCCCCGGCTGTCACTCGCGGCCAGGCGGTGCCGGGCTCCGACCCAGGCGAGCGCCCGGCCGGCCGACCGTGCTCTGGGCAGCCGCCGAGCGCAGGCTGGGTGCGAGGGCGGGTCTTGCCCCGAGGCCGAGCGAGAGTTTGGGGCTGGGCCGAGGTGGGGCGCCGCTCGGCTGAAGCCCCAGGGGACCGGGAGGGGGGCAGGTCGGCGTCGTGAAGACCCCAGAACTAAAACGTTGCGGTCTGTACGCTGATTCCTCCCTCTCGGACTCCGGGGTCGGGATAGGTCTACCCCTACCCTGTGACCTCGTGGGAAGGGGAGCCGAGCGAGGAGATTGAGGTCTCCCCCCACCCCAAGCCAGCCCCACGCCTCTCTCCTCCCACTTTCCCTTCGGGCATGTCAGGTTTTCGTTTCCCCAGCAGAGAATCCTTCGGTTTGGATACTGCAAGGGGCTGGCCCTCGGTCCCACCGCGCAACAGGCGGGTCGGCTCCGCCTTGGTCTCCCTGGAGGTCAAGAGGGGTCAGGCACTAGGGGGTTATCTTTTCCAGCTTCCCAGACACTCCCATGCAGAGTCACACCCTGAGGTCTCTCAGCCTTCCTGGGACACTAAGCCATTAGGGGGGTTCCCCTTGGGCAAGGAAATGGAATGGAGAAGATGAGGGTGAGCTGGCTGAATGCGCTGGAACCTGCTGGGTAACAGGGAGCTGATTAAGGGAGGAACAGGTGAATGAGAGGTAGCTTTATGAGGAAACGACCAAGTCCGGAGGCTGAATGCAAGTTATCCTCCCTCATGGTTCCTAGAAACCTCTCACCACCCACCCACCGCAGCCGGCTGTCTAGGGGTCCCTGGTTCATAGTCTCACAGCCTTGCCCCTGTCTCAGTTCTCCAGCCTGAGAGGAAGGAAGCAGGTGCTCACAGATGACACCCAGAGAGCAAGTTTGCTCTCTGACTCTGGCAAGCACCACCAGGTTCAGAACAGCCAAGACCTGGCCATGCAGGAAGTACCAGATCTCACTAGACAATGAAACATCCTTTGATTCTGTACCAAGTGATGGTCCAAGTGGCAAGCAATGAAGAATTGGTTTAAATTTTCATAAAAAAACACACCTACTAATATGTAAAAATAAACTATTATAAAATTAAAAACACACACACATACACTGCTTAATGGGGGCAGGGTTTCCTTCTGGGGTGATGGCGGTCTTCCAGCAGGAGAGGTACACAACATTAGGGGTACTAACTGCCACTGAACTGAGCACTTTAAAATGACTAATAGCAAATTCATGTGATTTTTATAACTAAAAAAGCATTCATTAAACATGAAACTAAAGGAAAAGCTGAACAAGGTTACCAGTATACTAAAACGCTGGAAAGAATTCCATGTGACCTCAATAGATTAGGAAATGGTCCATTCAACTAACATGGAAGTTTATGAGGAAAATCAACAAAAGGAAGAAAACAAAGATACACAAAATCTATATAAGACAAGGAACAATTAGATTTAACCTGAGCAGCCTGAGCTGAGTTTGGATGAGGTAGGAGAGAAAAGGTCCAGAGAGCATAAACATGATTTGGCAATGAAATGAAGTCAGTAGATGACCTAACAAGATCTGGGATGCTTCTAGGAGTCTGGTTTCCGTAATCCAGGGAAGTCTTTTCCTGCCACTACACCTGGCACTGAATCAGGCTTTACCCAAGCAGTGTCCCACTGGGGTCTCTGCATTGGGCTCTCAGGGATAGACACAGACCACCTCTCCGCTCCAGTCACCAACTCTGCTCCAGTCATTGGCACACTCCAGTGGCTACTCACTGGCCCCAGTGAGTCCAGTTTTACACATGAAAGCTGGAGACACTACTCAGATGACTACGCTCACTTGGCTCTCTCTCTCCTACTATGAGCCTCATGTAGTTACATACAACAGGGCACAAAGACAGCATGCGGGAACTGTCTCTCATAAACCGCAGTGGCTGGTAATGCAAGTGTCATGACCAGCGGGCTGGGACCCACAGATCCCAGTCACACCCCCACGTGGACACAGCTGAGAACTGTCACTGGGGCCCTATACAAAGCTTCCACAGGTGGGAAATCCACCAGCCTCCTGCAGTGCAGAGGCCAGCCCCTGAAATCTTACAGCTTAAACTGAGGGGGAGAGGGGGGTTGTGGGGCCTTACTGTTAGGTTGCTGCTAACAGCTGAGAACCCACAAACATTCAGTTTCCGCTGAGGTTACCTGGAACAGCTGGACTCAGACGGCGACCTCTGCTGCCCTTCGTACTGCTGCACCAGGGCTCGCACGCTCCAGTATGGGTTCTCAATCTCCTCATCCGTGCTGCTCTTCCTAAAGTAGGGCCACCAGCAAAGAAGAGGGCTCAACCCTTCAGTGCAGGTCCACCCGACAAGCACTAAGTGAAGCCCAGCCCATGAGCACTAAAGGGAAAAGATGAGTAAGGCAAAAACCCCTGCCATCCAGGCACCTGGAAGCTAGCAGGGGAGACAGAGGTAGAGAAACAAGTCACTTTACCAAGTCTCTAGTGCCTCAGGGTCACGCTCGTCTCAAACAGATACAAGCCCTAGAGTGTTTCCCGCTGCCACTCTCCAGGACAGCTGGGCTGTCTGGAGACATTCCAGGGTCAGACATCCCCAGATGAATGGGAACAGTGCTGAACATAGCTCCCAGTGAAAACACATTGTGCCCAAGGCATGTGTTTAAAATCCTGGGCATTGTAGCAAAAAAAAAAAAAAAAAAAAAAGCATATATATGATGCCTTTGTTTGCTGCTAACTACAAAACAAACATCTCTTTTTAAAGAGATCTCTCTCCTTTGGCATGTCCTGGCCAAACACACTCTATCCTCTTTTCTGCAGTGTGCAAGTGCTTAGGCGACACTCCCATTGACCACACTGTATCAGGGAAGAAATATCAGCAAGCCGGACATGTTCTAGTCCCCACATTTCATTCCTCACCTCTGTCGGTATCGAAAGACATCCCGTCCTGACCGTGATACGTCATGACACACGTCAGCCAGAGCGGCAGCTGCTCCCTGGGCCACCGCCGTGGCGCAGTGTGGCTGGTGACTCTGCAGAAGGGCTCTGGAGTCCCGTCCTTGGCTCACGGTCCTGCTAGAGCCAGGTTTGAAATGAGCTGCCAAGGCAAGAACCAGCCTCATGATCGACTTCAGGTTTCCTTCCACAATATCTGAGGGACAGAACAGACAGGTCCTCAGAGGGAGGCAGAGAGCTGAGGACTTGCTTATTTGCCAGGGATCCAGGTAGGCAAAACAGGCAATGTCTCTGAACTCCCAATGCAGTGTTCCATGAGGGAGACAGAAGATTTAAAAGCAAATACAGGGCCCTCCCTAGTAAAGCAATAGGTTTAAGCGAGCACACTTCAGCACAAGCTCGATCCCTGGCCAGGGAAGTGACCCACATGGTGCTGGTGCAGCAGACCTTTCCTGACCAAGCCACTGCTCCCCTCAGCAGTATACTTCATCACTCTGCCTGTTCTGCTCCTCAGTCTGTCTCTGGTGAATCCTCTCACCGCCCCTGCACCTCTGGCCTGTACCCAAGTTCTGTATGCATAAATAAATAAATCTTTAAAAAGAAAAAAGCAATTACAACAAAGTACAATCGTGTGTGATGGGTTTTTTGAGAGCTCAGCAGCTTGTCTAGTCTAGAAGGCTCAGGAAGGATCTTGGAGGAAGTGAGTTCTAAAATGTGACTTTATTGATGGCTAGTGGTTTACCGGACGTGAGAAGAGAAGGAGAAGTAGAATACCAAGAGGAGAGAACAGCAGAGTTAATGGCCTCGAGTAAGTGAAGAATGCAATAACAGAGCCAACAGGAGAGCTTATCGTCTGGCTACTGGGCACTCTCAAGATTCAGTCTGAATCGAATGTGCTGGAAGTAAAGGACACAGCACACACACAAAAGAATGCAAAATACCTCATTAGATCTCGTACAAAAAAATAGAATGCAAAACGCCTCATTTTAGATTGATTACATGTTGAAATGGTAATGTTTTGATTAGGTTAAATAAAATATGTGACTAAAATTAATCTCACCCACTTCTTGCTTTTTTTAATGTGGCTATTAGAAACCTACAAGTTCCACACATGATTCGTATTATATTCCCGTGGCACGGCCCTGGGACCAAGGAAGAGAAGACATTCCACATCAGAGGAACTGAGAGCAGAGGCAGAGGGTGAAAAATGAGGCCACAGGGGAAGAATTAGAGGTGGAGTCAGCAAGGCAGAGTAAGGTGTAAGAAAGATGGGACTGTTTCCTCAGTGCCTCAGATGGGGAGAGCTGACCACAGTGGATGTACTCCACAAAGAGCACTCTGGCTACAGAGTGGACAGGAGGCAGGAGGGGGACCAATACCGATGCCGTGGGACTAATCAGGATGCCGGTGAGCGGCTTGCTGTGCAAGACACCGCCGCCCTGTGTGGCAGTGCTCCTTCAAAGCAGCTGAATGGGCCAGGTCCCCCAGCCACTCCACCGGGGGGCCAGATCAGAGATGACCGCATGGCCAGATTTGCTTGAGAAGGAAAGAGGAATGTGAGCTGCAAATTATGTGTGAGGTCTGGAGAAAGCTAATGTGCGGAAATGGGTAGGCTCTGCTGTTTTAGTTCCAGAGCCTGGCAAACACGCAAGGCTGAGGGAAGGATGGGTGGCGACCTTCCCAGGGCGCCCTGGCTGCGTCTGCCCCGCCTGCATGACCCCACACAGGGAACACCAGGAGTTCAACACAAAAGGAGCATTCTTTCCTGCCCCCACTGTCGTCAGTCATGGGCAGTGAGACCCAGAAACTGAGGCAGGGGCAGAACCAGAGCACAAGAAGCTCCAGAGAAACAGCAGGACGAGGGAGCCTGCCTCCAGGACACCTACACAGTTTCCTTCTCCCATCTGGGGCTCAGAGTTGACTGAGAAGCGTCCTTTTTTGCTCTGGGGCAACAGCCAAGGGCCTGTGCAGGGGCCACAGAGCCTCTTTCATCCTACCTGGAATGTTCTGTGATGTCTAAAAAAAATAGTGCTATAAACTATTTTACTTCTGGGGAAAAAAATTAGGATTTGAAATAACTAGTGGTCATGAAACCCAAGAATTTAAAAACATGCTCTATTGCCAATTTTGATCACTGAAAGGAGACATTTTAAAGTTTATTTTTTAAATGTTTATTTATTTATGCATACAAGAACTGGGACACAGGCTAGAGGTGTGGGGGTGGATTCACCAGAGACAGAGTGGGGAGCAGACAGGCAGATGGACGAAGTACACTGCAGAGGGGAGCAGTGGGCGGGTCAGGAGAGGTCTGCAGGGCCATGTGGGTCAGCTCCCTGGCTGGCTGGGAATTAAACTCATGCTGCAGTGGCTGCCGATCGCTTCATAGTGCTGTGCTTTAACCTTTTGCACCACCCGGGAGGGCCCCATTTAAAAGTTTATATCACAATTTTGTCATTTCTACTCAACTATTCATTTTCTTACACGTACTCATGCAAGCCTATATTCAATTAAAGTAGACAGAGAACATCTATCTTCACCCTAAAGCGCTTACTGCGAGTCTGAAATTGCTCCTCCTCAAGAGGATAACTTTCTCTACAGAAAAATGGCATGAAGCCAGGGGTCTAATCCTACTCCAGTCCACTCCGAACCTCGGACTACATACCCTGGGTTCTTCTGAGGCTGGCAATCACCGGGTAAAGCCAAGTACACTCATCTGCCAGAGATGTGATGCAACACTGACCTTTAGCTGAAGTCTGGTGCATACGAATCTTTTTAGAGGCCACGAACTGTAACACTTGCTCCACATTGTTCTTCATCTCCTGTTGGTTAGTGGGACTGAGCTGAACCCCGCTCAGCTTTTCTCCTGCTGTTAGAAGAGAGAAAGTGCATGAAGTTATAAGGAGGATTGGATTGGCATCAACGTTTCCTAGGAAGGGGATGCCTGATGTGAACAGCAAAATGGTATCTCGATAGGCATGTGAGTTGCATTTAGTGTTTGTAATTTGGATGGGAAAGAGAAAACCAATGGCCCTTCTGGAGGGCCTTCAAATGTTCAAATCTATACCCAGCAGCCTGTGAAGTTACAAAGTGGATAGCATTCATTCAGCAAATATTCATTCAACAAATATTCATTGAACATATACTGTGAGGGGCCTTCCCTGGTGGCTCAATGGGTTGAAGCACAGCACTAGTAAGCTACCCACAGCCACCTCAGCTCGAGTTCAATCCCTGGCCAGGGAGGTGATCCATAGGGCACAGAAGACCTCTCCTGTCTTTCCAACTGCTCCCCCAGCAGTGTGTTTCATCAATCTGCCTGTTCAGGTCCCCACTCTGTCTCTGGTGAAGCCTCTTACCCCGCCCCTCTGGCATTACCCCAGTTCTGTATAAATAAATAAATAAATCTTTTTTTAAAAAAAAGAACATATACTGTGCACCAGACACTGTTCTGGGCATCAGAGATACAGCAGTGAACAAGGCAGGGTCACTTTCATCATGGAGTTTCTCTGTGTAGTGATAAAAGATGACTATGCTAGCATGTCAGCATTTCATATAACTTCAGGTAGTGCTAAGTGATTGTGGTCTCTCTGATAATACATTTGGGCAGAAACTGGGATAAAGCCAGGCATGTTCAGGCTCGAGGGGAAGCACTCCAGATGAGAAGCCACAGGTACACACCCAGGGTGGGAATGAGCTCAGCTTATGTCAGGAGCTGCACCAAGACCAGAGGCTCAGTATGGTGCACCCCAGGAGAAGGGAGCGAGGTGGGCAAGGCTAGGCTATGGGGGGCTTTGTGGGTCAGATTAAAGAACTTGAATCTTCTGCCCAATATAAGGGGCAACCAGTGGGAGAGTGTGAAGCAAGGGGATTGCATGATTTGATTTAGGCTCTTAAAGGTGGATGCTGTGTGGACAATTATGGGGAGAGAAAAGAGGGACATTAATGAGAAAGAAAATTAAAATCGTCAAAGCAAGAGGTAATGATGGTTTGGGTGAGAGTGGAAGACATGGAGAGAAGACAGATCTGGTAAAGTCTGAATGCAAAGCACACAGCCCATGGGAAGATGCTATCTGAGGAGGGAGGAGAATTAAGGATGACTTCTCAGTGGTGTGCCATAAAGCCGTGTGAGTGGTGCTGTGACGAGTTACTTAGTAGAAGCCTGGAGGGAAGTGGGCAGTTCTGATTAGGAAGTTAGAGGTTCATTCTAGACACCCATGCAGTGGTGCTGAACAGGAAGTCGGACACTTACATCTAGAATTTACGAGATAGTTGAGGATGGTGACAGGAATTTGAGAGGAGATCACTTAGGGGTAGAGACAATGTAAGGGTGAAAAGAACGCCAACATTTTGAGTTAGGGGAGAGAACACTCAGCAGAGCAAATGGCAAAAGCCACTGAGGAGGGAGGGAAACAAGCACGTGCCAACTTCTGCCAAGTCATAAAGTGAGCACCAGGGACTGGCCACTGGATCTGATGAGGCACAAGCTGTGTGACAGCGAGGAGGGCAGTTTCAACGGAGCGGGAGTCTGGAGACAGTGAGTTCAAAAAAATGCAAACGAAGATGGAGAATTCACTGCATTTTTCTTCCTATGTAGCAAAGTCTCAATAAAATGCAGCATTGAAGAACTTGCATTTGGGGAAAAATAAAAATAGGTCATGTATAGAATTGGAAAGAAAGCAGAAAAGCGTCATACTGGTAGCTGGTGGGGCTGGGAGTGGTCAGAACACAGGTTGAAAAGGGCTTTTGACTTTATACCTTTTTGGACCTTTTGGATTTTTCCAACATATATTAGTTACCAGGACAATCTATTTGAATAACTGAAAAACTAGATGTTTAAAGTGAGCTTTGGGATTAAAGCCAATCTGGTTTGGAAGTCTGCTTTGTCACTGAAATCTATACAACCCTGTAAAGAGGCTTTCGCCTTTGTAAACCTCATGAGTAAAATAGTAGCATTCACATATACCACATTATAAATCAATTAAAGTGGCAAGCTTAGCTCAATGCTTGGGAGATAGTATTTTTATCTATAATGATAATAACATTATGCACCATATGTATAATAAGCATAGATTTATAAAACCTTCTTTTAAGCTGGTTTTAGTGGGGGTAATATTACATCCCCCAAACACAGAGGCTAAGATGAAATGAAGAGAGCTGCTCTTAGCTATTACCACTGTCCACTGTTCTTTTTTTTTTTTTAGATTTATTTATTTATGCATACAAAACTGGGGTATAGGCCAGAGGTATGGGAGTCTGAGAGGATTCACCAGCAGAACAGGCTGCTCCCAACTCAGGATGGACTGAAATACACTGCTAAGGGGAGCAGCAGGCGAAACAGGAGAGGTCTGCCACACCATGTGAGTTACCTCCCTGGTGGGGGCTCGAACTCATGCTAATGACTGCAGATCACTTCATAGTGCTGTGCCTAACCCTTCTGCCACCAGGGAGAGCCCTATTACCATTGTTCTTCTCAGTGAATGAACATGCTGACGAATCCATGCGCTCTCTCAACAAGGCATTATTCATGCATAGGTTACCTGAGGCGGACCCCACTCCTTCCATCCCACTCAGAGCCCCACAACCTTCAAGGACTCTAAGCAAAGTCGTAACAACAAATATTTGAGCATCTATTATGTGCCAGGCACCTGGATAGATATTGTAAGAAATGGAGAAAAAAATCATACTGTATCTGCTCTTAAAGAACTCAGCCTCTACAGGAGAGACAGAGAGGTGAACAGCGCCATTTGGTAAAGGAGCTGAGTTCCATGCTGAGGATGTTACTGTCTAAAGAGAATAACCTGCAGCTTCTCCAAGGCTGCGCGAGGAAACGCCCTTCCATGAAACATCACGGAAGTGAGGACAGAGGTCCTTCTGGAGATACACTCTCTTTTTGCCTGGATCCTACTTCCCTTTCTAGCCTGGGCTTACTCTTTTTTTTTTCTTAGCCTGAGTTTAGGTATCGGTACTTCTGTCAAGGAACCCCAAACTCCCAAGATGGGGTTAGGTGTCCTCCCAAGAGCTCCCATCTGTACTCACCCTGTCAGAGTTCTAAGCACATAAATGGAAGTGACTTCAGCCTGCAGTCTTTCTACCTTGGAAGACTCTTGAGAGCAGCGACTGTGCTCATCATCATATCCCTGAAGCATAATCTAGTGCCTGGCACATGGTGTTTATTGGCTAATGAACAAATGAATTCGCCTTAGTGAGTATTTTGAGTCTTCTCTATTTCCTTTTCCATCTATTTTAAAGAAGAAACGATCTGCTCTGCCTTCAGAGCATGTGGGGGAGAAACATGGTCACACTCTGATTTATGCTATAGCCTCCAAGCCTCACTGACCCACGATCTCGATGAGGTAGGCCAGGATCACCCCATCCCGGAGATCCTGTCGCAGGTCCTGCACTGGCTTCACCGCTGGCCTCTTCTTCAGCTGTGCATTCACCCAGGCCACATATGCTTGCAGCTGTTGCTAGAAAAGGAAAAGTGCAAATTAGGGGAAAGTTGTCTTTATCCTTATCCTGTATCCTGCACCTTGAGTGCGCACTTGACTTTGGGCTATGGTGGGTGATTATAACCAGAGAGAAGGGTGACCTTTTCAGGAAAGAAAGAATTATAGTCAACAGAGCATATTCTAAAATTCCCTAGTTTTATCCCTAGTCTTTGGGGATGAGGTAACTTCTGACTTGGGCGAAACTAACTCAGATTAGCAGAAGAATGTTTCATTGATTAAGATTCCTGCTTTCTTGAAATGTACTCTGCTGACCAAAGATGCAGGCTGGCCCCAGAATCACAGCCAGTTTGGGGGTTAAGCACTGCTCCCTGTCACTCCCCCATCCCTGTCTTCCAGCTTCTCTGACACACTCACTCACAGCCCATATGCATAAAGGACCAAGACACTCCTAAGAACTATCCTGGGGAAGCAGAAGTGAACAGTCAACAGCTCAGTACTGCCTCTCCTGCAGCTGCTTTCTTCAAAATGAGATGCTAGTGCAACCATTTCACAGTCAACTCAAGATTTATTTTCCTGAATAAATCCCATAATCCTGGGATTGCTACAGAGTTAGGTTTAATCTGTGCTTTATATTGTCAAAGAGGATCTAGTTATTTGAAATCTGCACAAAGAAGGAAAAAGAAAGGCTATTGTAAGTGGTGTTCCTAAAGAGGGGTGGAGGTGGGGGCGGGGGTAGGGGTGTGGGGGTAGTTCCATTTATTTTCAGACAGAGCTAGGGCCCAGATCATCAGAAGCCTGTCAGGCCCAGAGAGGGACATAGAGCTCCCACAACTCATCATCCCAGTTCCTAGAAGATCTTGCATATTCCATCTGGTCTGAGAAAGGGCTTTAAATATCCAACAGTCCACGAGCAGAGTCAGAGGACAGAAACCAGCAGCACTATCTGGTTTCTGTAGAAGACCCTGAACCTAGAAGTTAAGTCCAAGGGCTAATGGTATTAAATTATAATTTGGTTTAGCAGGGAAGTAGGGCTGATTTCTAAGCCCCAACCACTTCCTTAATGAAATGCTGTTGGAAATTACTCACTGGTTGCTTCCTAAACTTAAATTAAATCTTCATTATTTTCTCTCTCAATGCTGATTTGTGGGATTAAATCAAATCTTTGCAAGATGGTCCTAAAGCAATGATCATCAGCTACTGAGGAAGTGTAGGCAACCTGGGGGGAGCTTGTGAGGGTGAGGGGGCAGAATCTAATATTGATACTATTTATTATCTCTCATGAACTAAACACTACTTTTGGTGTTTCAGCCATGTTTTAATGAGCTCATGAATGTAGCTGGAACAGGGTGTATCACAAAAGGGTTGTTTATAAATGGTCATTATTAATGTCATCTAATTTGATTGGCACAAAAGCACTTAAGAGTCACAGGCCATCTCCCTTCCATGGTTAAAGTTACATAACTTCTCCAACACCCTGTTAGCTAGGCCCGAGAAGACTTAGTATTAAAACCTGGTAAATGTCCCAGCACTGACATATTATTCTCCCAACTCTCCAGCTCACTCTACACAACAGTGGTGGCTACACCTTATACCCTACAGGGCCTGACTTCCAGGGTAAGGCTGAGTCAGGTAATGCTTCAAAGTCTGCTCCCAAAGCACTAAGCAGCCCAGGCAAAGGCCTCTTTTGTAATGAACCACTCTAATCTGGGGAAAACGAGGTTAGACCAGGAAAGGCAATAAGGATTGCATCGGGACCTGACTACTTGGCTTATGTGTAAAACTCCTAAGCCACTTCCCTGTACCTAATACCATGTTCAACCTGCCCACCAGACATTCACCACTAATATTCTTCACCAGTCTGACACTGTTCTCAAGATAGAATCCAGGGTCCTTAGCTGTCTTTTAAGTCGACTGTGTCCTGCCCCTTCTCCAGCTTCACTCACTTCTCATCCATCTGCCCTCCACGTTTCAGCACATCTGAGCGAGGAGCAAAGCACTCCCTCTCCCCTGGCCCTGTCATCCTTTAAGTCTCAAATGGCACCCTTTCCAGAAAGCCCTTCCTGGCCCTCCCACACACCTCACATGCTGATATCCTTCAGGCGTGATGTCAGATGGTCTGTTCAACAATAACTTGGGAGCCGGCACTGTGCTAAGTTAGGAGACTACAATGAGCTTTATGCTTTCAAGAAGCATACAGAAAAGAAAGAAAGAAGAAAAAAAAACAGAAAGAAATGAAACTTGGAGGCTGGCAGAACAAAATTCAGACAGGGCAGCATAAGGTGCTAGGAGGGGATTAGCCCAACCTGATGCCCAAGCTTCAGGAGGGTTCCTGAGGAGAAATGGGGACAAAGAGAACAGTGAACTCAAAGGAGGGAGTTAAGGTCTGAACTGTGCTCTCGGGAGAAAGCATCGACAATTCAGAATGATTGGACTCAGGGTAACAGGTGCTCAACAAATATTTGTTTGAATCAGTGAATCATCTGTCACACTTCATCAGACCAAGACTTTAGGTGATTGCAAAAATTAATTATGCAGAAACAGATGAGAGCAAGTATTTTTCATTAGGCCAGATCATTTCAACTTAATGGCCTTCTCCTGACTATTGAATAGAAGTAGGCTTTGATGCAAAACCGATTAGAGGTTTCTACAGGAATTTTCATGCACATAATCACCCCTGTGGTTTCCCAACAAAAGAGGATTCTACAACATAAACGATCATAATAGTCACCACTTTTCTAAATACCTACTCCAGAGCAAGAGTTATGCTGGACCCTTTAACACATTTTCTCTAGTGATAATCTGCCAGGGAAATTTTATTGTGTCTATTTTGCCAACAGGCACCGAGACAAAAAAATAGGGATATAACTTGTTCCGACAGTGAACTCTCAAGGCTGAATTCACTGTGACGTCCAGCCCACGCTCTCCACTTGACCACACTGTTGCTTAATTACATGCATCCTGAGGTGTCAATGACCTCACTGAAACTCTCAGGATGGAGGCCTAGGAGTCTAAATCACTTTTTCCGCCAACAACCAGTGTTTCTGTCTCATCCCTAGGACCTACACTAAGTGATTGTCTGCTACTCAAAGTGGCCCCCAGGACCAGCATTCCCAGCATTACTGGGAACCTGGTAGAAATGCAAACTCTCAGGCTCCACCCAGCCCCACTGAACGAAACCTTTATCTTAAGAAGACTGCACTGGTGATTCACAGGCACAGCAAAAAGAGAAGCATGGACGGGTCCCACTGACCCCACATCTGGCTGCACATCAAGACCACAAGGGAAATTTTCTAAAAGCGATGGGCAAACTTTACCCCCAGCCCACCAACTCACTCTACAGGAGAGAACCCAGAAAGCTTTATTTTCCCAAAGCTCTCCTATGATTCTTGTAGAGCTGCCTTGAGTCGTTTTCTAGCTGAATATTCCAGATGCCTTAATCAAGGGGTTCTAACCCTGACTATTTACCCAAGATGTCAAAATATACCATACACCATCAGAACCACTTACATGTGGGGCCCTTGCTGATCAATACTGCTTATGTGTTCCAGACAATTAACTATTCCTCACATGAAATGGTCCTGTATATTACTGATCTTCCATCCAAATTCTCTCTTTAGACAGGACACCTCAAGCCTAAAGACAACACTTTGGCTGTAAAGAACTCATTCAAGGGATTTCTTTTTTCCCTCCTTCTTCCTCCCTTGGCCACCAGAACACACTGATGACTCATACTAGCTGTTATTCAGAACCCCTAACGTGTTATTATTTTATTAGTTTTTCCTTTTGAAATAATTTCAGACTTAATGCAGCAAAAAAGATACAAAGTATTTCCTGTCCTCATAATCCAGTTTCTCCAAATGTTTGTTTTATATAGCCATGACAGAATGACCAAACAGGAGACTAATTTTGAAATTGGGAAATTAACACTAATAATCTGTGAAGCTGTGAGTTACTCTGCAGATTTTATTCAAATTGTCCCCCAAAACGTCCTTTTTCTTTTTCTGACCAGGCTCCAACCTAAGCTCTCATCCTGCATCTAGATGCAGTGTCTCGTTTGTCTCCTACAACCTGGAGGAGCTGTTAAATCTCTTTCGTGACCTTGATGATTTTTAAGCATATGGGCTTGTAACTCGTTTTTTATAGCTACATAGTACTCCAACGAAGAAATATACCTTTGCTCATTCAACCATCCTCCTGTACATGAGCCTTTAGGTCTCTCCCACTATTTTGCAATTGAAAGCAATGCTACAATGAGTAATCTTACACATGTGTGTTTTCATGTTGCTACAGGTCTATCTTCAGGATAGATTCCAGGAAGTAGTACTGGGTCAAAAAGCAAGTACGAACAGGGCCTCCCTGGTGGCGCAGGGGTTAAAGACACAGCATTATCAAGTTATTGCCAGTCATTGCAGCACAAATTGGATCTCCGGGCAGGGAGCTGACCTATATGGCACAGCAGACCTCTCCTGTCTCACCCACTGCTCCACTCAGTAGTGTATTTCAGTAGATCCACCTGTTCTGCTCCCCACTCTGTCTCTGGTGAATCCTCTCATCCCCCCCACCCCCCGCCCCGCACCTCTGCACCTCTGGCCTACACCCAGTTCTTGTATACATAAATAATCTTAAAAAAAAAAGTCAAGTACAAGCAGATCATTTTTTTAGACATTGCCAAATCCTCTCTTCGAAGGGCTGTATTCATGGCATTCCCATCAGAAATGTGTGAGTACACGTTTTCCCACATCCTTGCTAACAGAATATACTGTCACACTTTAAATTCTGCCAAAGCAATAGATGAGAAATCATTTCTTAGTGTTGTTTTAATTTGCATTTCTTCAATTATGAGTTTGAGCCTCTTTTTGTATGTTTAAGAATGTTTTATATATTGTATACCTTATTTCTATCTATGTGACTTAACTATTCATGTCTTTTCCACATTTTTCTATTAAAGTTTTTGGTCCTCTGTTCCATTTCTTTTTTTAGCATGTTCTTGACTACTTGCTATATTTATTTCAGCGCAT